GCGGGCTCGCTGCTGAAATCCGAGAGCCCGCCCTTCTCTGCCGGGGTGAGCTGTGGAGAGAGAGGAGGGCTCGTCAAATCAGAGCAAACCAGCACCCACACTTCTGCACTGGCACCTTGCCCAGGGCATCGATTCCCCCCAACAAATGTGCCCTGGTTTATCACAGAATCCCACAATAGTTTGGATTGGAAGGACCCTTAAAGCCATGGGCAGGGACACCTTCCACTAGCCCAGGTTGCTCCAAGCCCAGTCCAACCTGGCCTTGGACACTTCCAGGGATCCAGGGGCAGCCACAGCTTCTCTGGGCAACCTGTGCCAGGGCCTCCCCACCCTCACAGGGAAGAATTTCTTCCTAAAATCTAATCTAAATCTCTTCTGTTTTAGTTTAAAACCCTTTCCCCCTTGTTCTATCACCCACCCATGTAAAAAGTCCATCTCCCTGTTTTTTACAAGCCCCTTTAGGCACTGGAAGGGGCTCTCAGGTCTCCCTGGAGCCTTCTGATTTCCAGGTGAACACCCCCAGCTCTCCCTGCCTGGATCCAGAGCAGAGGGGCTCCTGCCCTTGGAGCATCTCTGTGGCTTCCTCTGGACTTATTCTAACAAGTCCATGTTTTTCCTGTGCTGAGCCCAGAGTGTGCAGCTGCCTTAAGTCTCGTTCAGAGAGACAGGTCTGTCCGTGGCAGTGGGACTGTGTGTTGGTCCCTTTGGGAGCAGTGACACACCTCCCTGCACAGTGAACACAAAGGCAGATCCATCCCATCCACTGCCCAGAACAACCCCAGCACCACAGAACAGCACAGCAAGACTTCCTTATTTAAAGCCTCACCATGTCTTGGTTCCCATGGGAATCAGCTTCCTTTGGGAGGGGTCCCTCTGCAGCAGGACCCTCATACTTCTGCTCCTGCCACTCGCTGAACTTCACGGAGTGCTTTGGGGTGTAGCTGGATAAATCTGCTGGAAGGAGAAAGCTGGTGTAAATATTCCTCACCACCCCAAAAGGAAGTGGGGCCAGGATCCCGGAAGGGACAGCATGGAAGCTGCCCAGCTGCAGTTCCCTGGTCATCCCCATTAGCATTTCCACCCACATGGAGCCCCATAAGGGTCTGTAGGAAACATGGACAGTGTCAGACACCACCTGCCAGCACAGGGCCTCACTCACCTGAGTTGGGTGTACTGGGATGCAAAGTGCCATTTGGGCGTGGAACGTAAAAAGGGCAAGATTTTTCCTCCTCTGTTTCCGAAGCATGGCCTTCCTCCTCCTCCTCCTCTTCTGCCAGGGAGCTCTCTGAGGGGTACTCAAACATAGTCTGCAGACTTGTCTCATTGAAGGAGATCTTCATCTAGACAACAGCAAAGGAGGATTGTCAGAGAGCAGCACGAGAACCCACTGATCCCAACGCTGGCTCTGGCACAGGCCACTGCACCCCAGGGCTGCACCCTGGTTTATAGGAATGACTGAATATCTCCCCCATCCCTTCCCATGTGCCTTGGTGGATCTCTTGCCATGCTGACAGAGAGCCAAATGGATGGGATGGAGGCAGGAGGCTGAGGGGTCCAGACCACCTCTGGCTTTTTGCCCTTCACCATCATCTCACTGATGCCCAGCACCCAGGAGGAGCTGCCAGCGTGTCTCTCTAGAGATCAGTGTTGCCAAGCAGGAAAGGAAAACATCCACATGTTGGAAAGGTGACATTGCTAATGCCTGACAACTCGTTTGTGTGCCCAGACTACAGAAATATGGGTGATCAGGACTCCAGTCTTAGGAGGACACCCCACCAAAGAGTTATTTAAGCTACATAAAACAGGGCTTAATACCAGAAGTGAGAAGGTGGAAACAGCTAAAGGAGAGATGGTAACAGGTGGTAGCAGAGAAAAGAAAATACTGGACAAGGTTCTGGTTTGAAAACAGTTTTATTCAGTATTCTCACTAATGACCTTTGCACAGTAACTGGGAGAATGAAGGTGAATGAATGAAGGAGGAATTGAGGAATGAAGGTGACTCAAACATCAAAGGAAAACCAGAATTTTATGGGTCATGAAGAAAACTAGAGAGCAAGAACACTAGAAATGGAATGGTGTTTAAGACCAACCCTTGCTCTAAGACAAGTTCATCACCTGTGAATAACAGGAAGAAAATTTTGGATTGGCTACAGGATTGTAATCACCATTAGGATACTGCTTAAAGCAGGAATGAAGCAAAGCATTTCTGCTGGAAATAGGGACTGCCTGGCTCCATCCTGCCTGTAACACCCAGCAGGTGGTGAAAATAACTCCAGATATGCTCTTCCAAGTTGAAAAGAAAAGCTGAGGGAAGGGTTTGCTCCCCTGCAGCCTGTCCTGTCCTAATCATTATCCACCGTTGTGCTCGGAGGATCTGGTTACAGGTCACCTCAACAGGTGCAGAGGAGATTCACTGGCAAAAACTTCCCACCAGCACAAGTGCAGGTTGAGAAAAAGCATCACAGCTCTTTAAGAACACCACAAAATAACCCCCAAGGAGCAGAGAGCTGCTGATACCAGCACACAGAGGACAAACAAGGAGGAATTGCCAGGAATAGATTTATGCCAGAAGTAGGGAAGTATCCAGCCAACAGGGATCAAGGTTCAGGAGCAGCTGTCTAAGAGGGTGTTGTGATCCCTCTACTTCTAAATACAGTTAAAACCCAGACAATAAGGTTATAAACAGAATTAAAAGGACGTGGGAGCTTGTGACAGGCAGCAGGAGCTGCATGGATCTCTCTGGATGCTGTGTAACGACTGGTAAGGAGCAAGTGCAGCACATTTTTTACCTCCTGTGCCATATCTGCAGTTACTCTCACACCCAAACTCCCCTACGGGCTGGGAAGTGGCACCTGGCCCCAGGCAGCTCTCAAGCACCACATGTGCTGCCCAGGTGCACCTATTCCCTGGAATAGCTGTCTCTGTCCAGTGGCCGGAGCATTGGTGGAGGCTGCTGAAGTCCTCGGGGGTCAGAGCTGCCAGTGGGCCACAGTGCCCCTGTGCTGCCTATGGAACCTGGGAAATGGGGGACCAGGGTCTGCAGGGCCAGACAGGGAGCATTTCACTGCTGCTTTTCAGCAAAACAGCAAGAGGAGTTTAACTGGAATCTGGGTAACAGTGAGCACCTGCACCTCCTCCACACTGCAGATGCACACCTGGGGTGCCACTCCACCCCAGCACGGGAGGGACCTTGGACACACTCCCAGGATGGGAACAGCACAGAGGGCAACCAGCTGCTCTTCCCCATTCCCTGCCCCAGAGCCACTCTGACCTTCTTCAGATGACACATGGGGAGAACAGTGATTATACTTCAGACAAGAGGGGTTGGAATAAAATGGTCCTGAAGATTAGAGCATCCCAGTTGCTGTTCCCTGAATTTCCCATTCCTGCTGCTGACCTAGATGCTCCCTGATCCGAGCCAGGCTGTGACTGCTCACAATGTGGTGTCTGTACTGGGGAGAGCCACACTGCCAGGCACGAAGGCCAGAGAGTGGAGGTGCCCAGAGCTCCTGGAAGCTCAGGAGCTATCCCAGAACCAGGCACTGCACACAGGCTGCTTACCAGTGCTGGCAACTGCACTGAAGGGCAAGAACTACTTGGCTAAACATGGAAAACAAAGGAGACGGGAGAGATATGCCTTAGATTTAGAATTTAAGCTTGGGAGATGGAACTAAGTGTTCCTAGTTTTCTGTTATCTGGAGGAAATCTCTGAGAAAAATTACTCTGAGTCCAGTTTGGACCAAAGGTGCATGTAGTGCTGGAGGAGGAAACAGCCTCACCAGGGAGCAAAACCAAAGAGCAGAACACAGCAGAAGTGACCCAGAAATACAACCCTGCCCACACAGTGCCCAGAGGCAACACCCCAACAGCCCTAAACTCACACAGCTCCCACTTCCCACAGCCAGTTCATCTGAGGCCACACTCACTCCTGGAGCAGGGCTGGGAGTCCTGCTGGAGTCTCCAGGCACCTGTGCAGGAGGCAGTGCTGGAGCCATCCACACAGAGCAATCATTAACCACAGCAGTGCAGCCCCACACGCCCAGGGACAGCTGGGGACAGCTCAGGACAAGACAACCTGCTGCCCCAGCAGCACATGCCCATGTTCACACCAGCCAGTCGTGCGTGGCATGGCTGCACCATGGCACAACCCCCAGAAACCACACCGGGGGTGTCCCACCCTCTGCACCCACAGCCTGCTCCCGAGCACCAGCAGAGCCCCACAGAGCTGCAATAAAGCTCTGGCCACACCCAGGCAGAGCAAACACAAGGAACAGCCCGGAGCTGGCCCGGGGAAGGACTGCAGGGAGCTCAGTCAGCCCTGCCCGTGCAGGCAGAGAGCACTAAAAGCAGAGCAGTGAACGGCCGAGCTGCCCTTCCCCAGCAGGACGTGCTTTCGGGGAAGCACAACCCAAGCTTGACCCAAAAGATGACGGAGGGTGACGTGCTCAGGCAAAACCAGGGGACACAGGGGCAGAGCTGCCTGAAGAAACAGAGCAGCTACAGAGCAGAACTGAGCACTGTGTGGGGAACACAGGCAGCTTCAGTCCCAGGAACCATCTAAAGAGGAAAATCAAGAGCCCAGCAATGGCAGAGACACCAGGTTTGCACAGCCAGCAGCCCCTTGCCAGACCACTGAGGCTTTTATGGGAACACAAAAGGCAAGAGGGGACGTTTCTTTAGAAGAAAAGTGTCTCCCAGCAGAGCCAAGCACGCTGGAGCCTGGCCAGAGGGCTCTGCTCAACGTGTCTCAGCACTGGTTTCCCCATTTCTGCCCCAGCAGCAGCTGCCAGTTGTGGCAAGGAAGAATTTTGCACCCTTCAGCTGTGGATGTTTGCAGGGATTTGTCACTCTTCACTCAGCTGAAGGCTTCACCCACAACTGTGTCACAAACCAACCCATATATCTATATATTAATACTCTGCCCAGCAATCAGAGACATGCTGGGAAGAGCAAAGCAGGCTTTTCAGGGGATATTGTGCTGCTCAGCCAACAGATTCTTGTTGCCATAGCAAGAATCATTTATTTATTTGCTAGGATTTGAACAGTAATGAGTAATAAAAGAGAGGCAGGAAAAAGAAGGCAGGGTAAACATTGCCCAACGTGCGTAAATCTGAGTAGTCATACAAGGCTCATTTAGAAAAGAAAACAAAAGTCAACCTTCTTTCAGGGCAGGCTGCTTCCAGACCAACCACCAGAGAGGCCTCATGGACAGAGACTTATCAGAAATAAAAATAACCAGTTTACAGAACCCAACCTATGACATAAGCAATGACAGCCAGCAGATACCTCACCTCCAAAAGGGAGGTGGGAAAGTCTGCAAGGCAGTTTTAGTGACAGAACAAACACCCCATCAGGGCTTCTCACACCAGGGATCTCTCTGGAAGTCTCCTGGGGTTAATCTGCATCCTCAGCTCCAGAAGCAATCTCTTTAGTGTGGCTTTTCTCTTCTACACCCATTATCACATTTGCTTCTTGGCTGATGAGGCAAAGCCCAAATGATTATGTAGGGTGTTTGCACCTTTTAAATAGGAACTTCTTTGCAATTCAAATCCTCACCTTGTAAGAGTCAGAAAAAAATAAATGTTCTAGGCATTAAAAGAGACCAACAAAATCACCCTGTAACTCTATTCCAGCAGGGAGAGTCAGAGTCAGCATACTGCTGACATCCCACAGCACCCAACCCACCAAGTGCTTCACCAGATCCAAACAGCTGAGCAGCACCAGGGATCAAGATTCTTCTTTTCAGGTAGTAATGTTCCTCTGATCATCCTCTCTCCTCCAGCAACATAATTCCCAAGTGACAAACCCCGGGACTGCTCTGACCCCCCAGGACATGTGTGGGCTGCCAAGTGCTGCTGGGTGTGATTTAAAGCAGCTTTTCACACCTGGTCAATTCAATGCCTCCTCCTCTCTCAGCATTTGCACAGAGGGAGGGAGGACCATTCAGCATGAGTGAACCTCAGAGATCAAGCATGAACAAAGTGAGTGTTTGGGAGAACCTTGTGTTCCTGTGCAGTCTTACACTGAGCTCATTTGCTGTTGCACTGGTTGTCTAAAGATTGGGTGGACAGCAGGAAAGCACAAGGACATCTCACCTGACACCTGGAACTGCAGCAGCCAGCTGGGGGAAGCCTGTACACACAGAGCATCCCTGGGAGGTTTGCAAACAGCCCCCTGGGCTGGGCAGGAAAACTGCTCAAAGAGCAAACCCTTTGGGTTGGTTGATAGAGGCTCTGCCCCCAGGACTGCAGGGAGCTTCTAAACCCAGAACTCAGGACCCTTCTAAACACAGAACAACCTCCCAGCTGCCATGGGGTGAGAGGGAATGTCTCTGCACAGA